TAACTGTTTGAGTCGTCTGACTCTTGTGTCTCTATTAGGATAATTAGTACATTTGTACAGAGAATGCTTTTGATTGCAAAACAAGCACATTCCCCATCCTACAGATCGTTTAGGGGTTACCGATTTAGGTAAACCAGTATTTGCAGGTTGTGATGATTTTGCTGCTTGCATTTGCTTGTTATTTATTCTCTTGGGAGTACTTGGTGTACTCTGGGGAACCATTAATAGGCTCTTGGGAGTGCTCTTTGGACTATTAGGTCTCTTAGGAGCACCTGTGGAGTTATTAGCAGTGCTCTTTGGACTATTAGGTCTCTTAGGAGCACCTGTGGAGTTATTAGCAGTGCTCTTTGGACTATTAGGTCTCTTAGGAGCACCTGTGGGACTCTTAGTCCTCACTGATGAATCAGTATTTGACTGATTGTCGTTACATTGATTATTAGCACCTTTGTTACCTAGTGACAGTGTCACTTTAGAAGTTTCAGGTAAGGAAACTGATGTAGGTACAGTTTTGGTGCATTCAGATTTAGCATTAATTGCTTGGTCTGCTGTATGATTGCTCATATTACGCAAACCTGTAAATATATCCTGCATTGACAGGGTATTACCATTCTGGTATACATATAATTTATTAAGTGTGTCACCAGACAATTTTCTCTGGATGATAATTTTAGTCATCCACTCAGTAGTTGGGTGATCCACCTCTTTACTAAAAGAATTTATCAGTGACTCAAGCTGAAAACTAAAGGCTTGTAAAGAGTCAACTGATTGCTTTAGTGAAGATAAATTTAATAATTGGTGCACAAGGTTTATAATAGTCTTCTCATTGTTAGCACTTACTCTAGAAGGCTGTTGTGAGCAATTGTGACCATTACTTGTGTTGCTTAAGGCTTCTTGTTTAGCCTCAGCTTTGATTACAGCTTCGACTGCTGCTGCAGTATTAGCTTTATCATTTTCTGGTTCAGATTCACTGATTATTGCAGCTTCACTTGTTTCATCTGCAGCTTCACTTGTTTCTCTGGGTTCTTGTGATAAGCTAGTTAATTCAGTAGCCTTATGTATTGAACTTATAGAATCCAGGGAACATTGAGAAGAGTGGTCTGAAAATTGGTCAGACTCAGTAAACAAATCATCACATGAAGCTGTATTAGATGAGAGGTTAGAAAATGAAGGTTGAACTTCAGTTGTTGATCCTGTATAGTGATCAGTATTGATTAGAGGATTCTCCTCGTCTTGAGGTAGCTCAAGTATTTCATCTGAGCTGAGTATTAACTCGGATACAGGTCTATTAATGATCTGATCTATCCACTCGGGAATATCTAGTCTCGTGAGCACCTTATCATATTGGTCTAACCTGGTTTGAACGCTACGTTCATAGTTATCAAGCTCAGATTCCGTTAGACATAAGTCGTCTGTGACAGTATGATCGGTCTGGAGTAAATTCCTGTGGGACTCGATTACAGTCTTGATATAATCATATTTTTTGTTAGCGCTCCTTATGGAACTTGCTATTCTGTAGACGTAATCTGGGTCAGTTTCTACACAGTTGTCACATTTGATAAACTGTTTTCCTAGCTGAAGTTGAAGAGCTGTCAAGAATCTTGCATTCCTTTGCGGTAAATTGAGCCTGATAGGGCTTATGTAGCTAGTGGTATAGCTATGGTGTCTGCTCCTTGATGCAGAGCAGGTATAAGTATTGACAGCCTGGTATTTCTTGAGGCTGGTTGTAATTTACCTCATTTAGAGGTTAGCTACCTACCTAATAATAAGCAACTAAGATTTGAGTGGTACCTTGGTCTCACTACAGGTGTTCCTCAGCTTAGCTCTTCTAAATCAGCCTCGGATGGGTAGTGGACTTACAGTAACACTCAAAGACATACATAGAAATATGCAATAAAATAATTACACAATAAATGGTTAATCCCACCCTTGATAGGGTCAGCACAAAATGAATAATATATGTGTCACTAACTAGCTCAAGCCTAGTCGTGAGAATTTCTACTTAAGAAACTGCAACTATATTTAGTCTGTGCTTGTGCCAAATTCAACACAATCACAGCCTAAATTGCTACCTAATAAAGGTTGGCAAAGATTATATTATGGTGCAGTAATGTGCAAATAATTGTGCTGTGTTTTTGGGTTTTTTGGATTTTATATAATATACACTTGTATAATTATGTGTATAAGAAATTAAATGAACACAAAGGAATTATTTGTGTTTGGCAAGTATTCTACTGCCGTAAATATTATCTAACTCCTAAATGTACTCCTAATTGTGGAATAAAATATTATCAGGGTTAGTAATGATTAACTAGTATGAGATCAGTAATTTATATTAGTATACTGGATCCCTAAATGTTAATGATCCACTGACTTGAGTGAATCAGTAACTATAACATGGATTCAGGCTATAATGGACAGTCTGCTGACAGCCATATATTGAAACATTGGTATAGCCTAAATGGTTAACACTTAATTGGTGTTAGTGATTAATATAAGGTTATGAGCTGTTGCTCTTGGTGACCTAAAGATTCTACTTCAGTATGAAGTGTAGATCTAAATGTTGTGGGTAATTGGTTATGACCCACTAAAGCTACCTTATACATGAGGTGAAAGTAGCAATATATTAGTGTGATCTAGACTAACTGATGTGTTACACTGTTAGTTGACACAATTAATTAAATAGTTAGTCTAGCTTATATCACACAAGGATTAGTTATTAATGATTAATATTTTAATTATAAATTTAATGCCTATCCGGTTCGATAAGGACCATAATGTGGGACATTTGGGGCTTGAATCTAATTATTTAAATATTAATGTAGTAAATTAAATTACGAAGGACCACCCGCTTTTATAGTAAAGAGGGAAACTGAGAATTTCTGATCATTAGATAATTCCTAGATGAACCAGTAACTATGGATAAAATACTAGAGAATATGATCATAGAAATAATTAATGGGCTGTATAATTAAATGAATCAAACCCTCAAACACCTACATTGGGGGGTTATTACTGGAACTCAGTACGTCCAGGAACTAGTGTGGTTCGTTCACTAATCCAAGATATAATAATCTAATCCTATGAATTATTAAAAACCAATGTCATTACCATTAATGGGAACATAGATTATGAGTATAATAATGATAATCACAATAAACACATGTCAATCCCAAAAGAGCTCTGCATGTAAATAATTCCAGATAATTAATAATGGAAAACAAAGGAATCTTAGCTTAATGACGATTCCCTTGTGTAAGTCACGATGCTTCCTCTGAATCTCCTGGGCTCAGCTAGATGACGAGTGGGATGGATTAACATGGGAGAAGGCAGCAGGGAGAATTCTCCTCACGTGCTGCAAAACAAATATTTACAGTAGCAACTAATTAAACTACTGAATCTCTATGTTCAAGAAATTAATATTAATAAGAGATAATGGGTAATAACCTGTGGTTTGGTGTTGGTATACGTCGTCACGACAAATCACCCAGCTACTATTCTACACCCTATACGATGCATCAAATAAGGATAAGATACTAAGCTTATATGGGCACTGTATAAGTTTTAAGATTGCCGAAATTCGCGCCCCAGGCTCTGGCTTCACCTATCCTGGATAATGGCGCGCTTCACTGGTCGGTCACGTGTAGTCAAGAACCAGATTAAAAAGGTTCCTTATATTACGCCGACACCAGTTGAAGATATTGTCTGCAAGGTTGTTCACGCCTCACAGTGGCGACTTTCTTCTGAGGATGGATAACGTTTACCCTGATGACTGGATAATGGCGTCTCCTCGTGAGCACGATGCGAACAGGTCCGCCCGAGAGCTTATGCACACGTGTACTGGCGTGCCCTCCTCCCCCACGTCGCGTCTCGCGTTCATTAGACAAATTATTGTCATGAATATTAGTATTTCTCGCATTTGTGCTTGAAATGTTGAAGACAGGACGGGTTTATTATTTAGAAGAGGGAAATATTATTATTTGCCAGTTTCAGCGATAGTAAATATATAATGGGGAGGAATTAATGTCTCTCCATGGCATTCACTTGTGACGTTAATTTTTATTACTAGATAACTGCTATGACTCTAACGCTCTATTCGGCTTTTAGTTGGAGGTCAATTTATCTGTAATTAATTATCACACAGAACGCCTTGGTTATAGAGAATCGAATTCAATTCTCAGATACATTGGATATAATGTTTTTATTGTAATGAAATCTGACGCAATACTGGCGTCGGGTGACGTGAGAATTCTAGCCTACTGCACAGATGAAATTATTAGTACATGTGAATTCTACGTTGTGTTAATTTTACTTACTACAATAATTAGTAGAATTAGTAATAATTAATGAGAATACAACAGTGTTGTATTCGGTGTTGGAAATTTCCAACACGCTCTACACAACACTGACTGACCATGCACTCCCTACAACAGTGACTGGCCATGCCCTCCCCACAACACATACTGACCATGCGTTCCATACAACAATGACTGACCATGCACTCCATAGAACACTGACTGATCATGCGCTCCCCACAACACTGACTGACCATGCGTTCCCCACAACACTGACTGACCATGCGCTCCCCACAACACTGACTGACCATGCGTTCCCCACAACACTGACTGACCATGCGCTCCACAAAACACTGACTGACCATGCACTCCACACAACACTGACTGTGTGGAGCACAAAGAAATTTTCGCTTCCTGAACGGGTGAGGAATGACGAGAAAGCCACTTGCTCTCACAATAAAGAAACAGATCTAAGCTTCTAAGAACTAAGAACTAAGAACTTCAGCATCATAATACATAAAAAAACATGTTATAACTCACTCATTGCAACTGCTAGATAATCACCAAATATTGGTTTCACAGTGAATGTGCTTACTTACAACACTGACAGTAGGTTTCACAGAGGATATGTTCACCATAGTTGATATATTATATAGTTGCTATACATATATCAGCACAGGGCATAAGTTTCACAGATAATATACTCACCACAGCCACAGCACTGGAGGACAAGATCTCAGCCGGAGTCAACACAGCGTAGTAGGCAACATTCGTAAGCGTGTAAATCACACTCACTATTGACATTGAGATAGCAATGGCTCTTGGCAAATTCCTGGAAATGTATAAAATTGATAAATATATATAACGGTCATGTGTTAGTTTTATACAATGCAGTTGTAAAGACAGGTGTGAAACTTCATCTACCTTAATGCTTTAAAAGTCTCATCTTATCCAGCATTTAGAGTAAGCAATGCAATTCATTTACATTTAACCGAAAAAGCACAGTAATTATAATTTTCAACTCAACTTGATATATCAAAACAATCAATATATATTATCACTGATGCTTGTTAGAAAACCATTAGTGTGTCACACTATTTGACAAAAAGTAGCAAACTTCTGGTAGTAGTAGAAACAAAAGCTAGCAAACCTGCTGGGATCCTTCAGCTCTTCGGTTACATAAGTCAGACTGTCCCTGAAAATAAATGCAATTTTAGTACTTCAATAAGAGACTAGATGTCTAAATTTAATTTCATTCTGTATATGAGAAGAAATAGAGAAGAAAATACGTTGTATTCCAAAGATTGTCAACGCGTTGTATCATTTGAAGAGTTTGGAATCGTCTCTACTAAAATTTTTAATATATTTTAAATCAACTTGCTGATCCTCAGCATTGCCATTTGACAATAGTCTGCCTCAATATACTAACTAGGCTATAAACAACACAGGTTAAGTTGGGGAAAACTTGAGAACTTAAGTGAAAGCAAAAAAAAAAAACGTGATTTGTATCCCTCAAATACATCCCTCGTGAGTTGTATGCAAACGGAACCAAGCCTTCTCAGTGTTTAGGAGCAGGCAGACTAAATTTATATCATCAAGAGGTTATCTTGACGATCCTTTTACAAAGTTGATTTGTCAAAGGAAAGGGGTCACGTAATTTACCCTCCATTACTAACAGACCGTCTCGGTGTGATGAAAGACGGTATATCTCTGTTAAGACATTTATTTATTCATTGAGATATTGTGGTGGGAGTCTATCCAGTTAGCATATATATTTTATTCCAATGCTAAGAGGATTTCTTGTATTAGTATCTCATGGCAGTGTCTTATGTACTGTGTATGCTCAAAAAAATTTATATCACTCATTTCAAATTATGTGTGGCGAGGTAGGGAAACATGGATCCAGTCATGTTGTGAGTCGTTATCAAGTTAAGCCTTTGAAAAGATAATAATTGTCAGATCTCAGCTAAACGTTATTGACATTACCAAATATGAGTACGAAAGAGATTTGGGGACCATAAACTACGAAATCAAAGTATAAATGTTCAAAATATATCAAATAGGATACTAGAATTTATAACAAAATAATTTAGTAATAAGACAACTTATGTTATTTTTACATTTTATCTTGCCCTTCGTATATCCCATTTACTTTATTTATGCAGTTCAGCTTTTGGTATTAAACTATAGAAGGAACTAAATTTTAGGGAGTGTTTGGAGAAGGATGGTAAAGTTAATTCTAGGTATTAGAAACTTCCCATGTGTATAAGCTGGATAAGCGGAGACAATGAAATAATCAGGTAAAATATTTGTTTAGAATAAAGCCAGGTGATATATAAAATATTTTATTGAGTAAGTTGAAAGTCATAGAATCACTGGATTGTTTTAAGCTTGCGTTTGTCATACATATAGTGAGCTTGGTTTGGAATCATTTGGAACTGAAATGACCGTCTCGACTTGATAAGTGCTTAGGTCGAGTTGAAACGTCGTTATTTAATTTAATATGATGTGGACATATTATTTGTTTCAGTCACGTCATTGTGGCCAATTTTCGCATGTCTTCTGCAGTTTCATATATCGTAAATTCCTAGAATAACCACTTTCCAAAACTCACCATCCATTGTAAGCGAAGAGCGTGGAGTAGAAGGCGGTGGCGAGAGAGGAGACGTCCCAGATGGTGCTTTTCATGGGGTCAAGGAAGTGTTTGACGTGACCCCTGGCGAGGTGCAACGCCCCGGCCACAATAATGATGATCAGCGCCACCACCTAGCAGGGATAGTCACAGTCATGTGGTGATACATTCGTACACGGATTAAGAAAAGAGGAATTCTATGATATAGTGAAGTAGGATATGATTATGGACATAATAATACAAAAGTTAGACCATATTGGGAAATATTACAAAAAGTTTATTAATATTTGGAATCATCAACAAGTAATAAGTACGAACCTTCGTCATGGTTAAGGCATCTTGTACATAGGTCCCGAGTTTGACACCGACGCAGTTGACATACAAAACTAAACCTGAGGAAGAGTCAGATGAGTTTCCTGTTAATGTACAATTCACCAACATTTTTATTTTTTAATTAATATGTTCCACATTAAATGTTAAGAAAAAAGTTGAAGCACTAAGAGCAGGAATAATAATTTGACGAGAAGTCTGTTTGAGCTTATATTTAAGTAAGTTGTGTTATGATGTGATAAGCTTTCTTGAAACGCTAAATTATTTACTCTATTCCCATTTAAACTATTTTAAGAAGTTTTTGAGCTGCACTCTGCCTTTAAGGTTCAAATTTGACCAAATTTAAAATGGATCAATTACACAATCTGAAAACAGCAAATACCATATATCTGTTCATCGTAAAGTAGTTTCTCCGACCATAACACTTACAGATCATCGCCGCGGTGAGGAGCTTGACAGAGACGTAGGGAGGTGGGATGGAGTCCGGGAGAAATGCTTGGAGAAGATAGTTGGCGAAAGTGAGAGAGACGATGGCTTGGCTGGCAGGTTTGGCAACGAGAATGTTGATCCAGAGGACGAGGAAGGCGGGTATTGGGCCGAACGCTTCCAGGACATACACGTAGCTGCCTCCGTTTCGAGGGATGGTCGTGCCTGAATGATTAGAGGAAATCATGTCACTCTTTCCTTCACGTCAATCAAATACACCAGGAACACTTTGAATCATTGAAGTAAAGAAAGGTAATGTAATAAGAATCGAGGCAGGATAAAAGTCGAAGATTTTATAGGACTTGTAGTCAGCTGATACTACATACTTTACCACAAAGATCCACGTCCTTATTTATTAGTACTAGTGAAAAAAAAAGAGACTAGTGAAAGAAATAGAAGCTAGTGAAAGGAGAAGAGGCTAGTGAAAGGAAAAGAGGCTAGTGAAAAAAGTATATACGAGTAAAAGCAGCAAAGACTAGTGAATAAAACCAAGGTTAATGACTAGTTGAAGTGGCGAAAAAGAATAGTTTTTACTAAAAGAGTAAAGAATAGTAAAAAAAAAAACAAGCAAGAAAAAGAGGTAAAGAGTAGCGAAAGGAGTAGAGGCTAGTTACTGAAATAGTGACTAGTCAAGAGTGGAAGCTAGTGAAATAATAATAGACACCTAAAATGATTAGAGGCAATTGAAAACAGTAAGCCTAGTGGAAGATGTTAAGGTCACTGGAAGATGTTAAGATCAGTGGAAGATGTTAAGGGAAGTGGAAGATGTTAAGGGAAGTGGAAAATGTTAAGGGAAGTGGAAATTGCTGTGGGTAAATAAAGAAGTAAATACTAGTATAACTAGTAGAAGCTTATGAAAGAAGTTGTGGCGAGTGAAATGAGTAGATCTTAGTGTAAGTTGTAGAGAATATTAATGTAAAAAGTCCGTAGAAAGTGCAGGGGCTAGGGGAAAGAATTAGAGGCTTGTGGCAATAATAAGAGCTACGTAAAAGATTAAAGATGACTACTACTTTGAAAGTAGTAGAGCCTAGTGAAAGGAGTGAATGCAAGCGAGATTAACAGAAGCTGGTGAGAGTATATCTGGAGTGGAGTGCTAAGCATGACTTGAGATACATTTCCATGTTTTCATTTCCCGCAGGCACACATTTCCATATCTTGGTAGGATATTGAATAGACATGGTCTTATTATGTTCATACAGTGCTCACTTGTTCCATTCTTCATTTTCTACCATATCGTTCGCTCAAGTTTGTTGATATTTTGATGTGCAAATTTGGAACCTGTGCAAATCTTCTATATGTTTATTATGTGTGCATCTCTCGTCACCTTTCTAGAGAGTACAATATAAGACATCTTTGAGAATTTAGGCTCATTATCGTAACTATGTATACTGTGTTCTCAATTGCGTGTTCTCTGTGAATCTCTGTTGCTTTGAAATGGTAAGTGAATACCGAGCAGTACATAAGCCGGGAAAGCTCACGTGATGGTATTTTGAATAGTACTAGCATTGTAATGATTTCTCTGGATTTGAGGGTTCTCATAATCAACCTTGTCCCTTTCCTAGCTAATGCTTTATTTGCTTCGTTATGCTCACTAAACATTTAGGTCTAATAACAGTATTCACAGAGCCTCTGCATGTTATTTTCCTTCTATGAGGAGATCTGATTGTGTATTGTACCCCTGTATTTAGTTTCAATTCTATATTTTTACTGTACCCAAGAATATGGATTTATTATTGTTCAATATCATATTATTTTCTGTAGCCCAATCGAAGACTTAATTGATATCAGCTTGTAGTTCATCAATGTCGGCTATAGAAGTAATTTTAATTTTGAATTCTGTGTCATCAAAAATAATTCAAATCATTTTGTATCAGTAGGCTTTTTCTCCCTACTACATTATGCCCTCGTGCTACCGGTAATTTACATTTCTGTATATATATGGAATTCCAAAAGTTAGGTCCAGGGATAAAGCACATGAGCATGTTGTCAATTGTTTAACGTCTGTTGTGCTGTTAATATCGGTTATTTTGTCATAGGTTTGAATATCATTCATAAATATTCTGTCTGGATCTTCACCTCTAATTTTTAGGGGGGTCTAAACATAGCCTAACACTTTAGGCTGTGAGGATTTTTAGGATTTTGGGAATCCAATTCTATTAGGATTTTACTAATTTCTTTGTCACTCCAGTGAGTGACAATGAACCATCACTTGTATGTATAGATCCAATACTGGTGATTTTTATTTTTATTTTAAATATGTGAAAAATATTTTGGGTTTCTCTTTATATCTTGCATAACTATGTGTTCCATCTTCTTTTAACTAGTCTTAATGCTATTCTTAATTTTAAACATAATAGAATGAGATCTCCAAGTAGATCTCCATGATATTATCTGGTATTGTATATGCTAGATTATTAAAGTATTTTTTATCTCCTTTATCTGTTATGTGAATTATTTAACTGTTACATCTGGAAATTTGTATTTAGAGTAATCATTAAGTTTATTTCCTCTGCTTTGATTGCCGGTACTTCTACCATTTCATCTGTGTTATTTAGAGCCTCTGAGCATACGAGGTCCTCTTTAATATACAAACGTACTCTGCATGACTAATTTACTTAATCACATTTTATGTTCAGGTATGCAGATCCCGATGTCTATGTAGTCTCCCGTATGGGTGTCTGTGAAACTGGAAATACTCCATTTGCCTCTGCGAGAAGGTCTTTTATAAACGATACTTGTTTTTCGCCTTTGTATTCAGTCCTTGTTTGTTGGCTAAAGATCAATAAGGGTAAATGAGGGCACTCTATTTAAATTATTTAACTAGGAGGTTTTCCAGGGATGTCCAAAATGTGAGGACATATTGAACGTGTTGTGACCTGTATTGGTGTTACATGATATCGTTGCAGCTCTGTTGCTGGATGTAGTATCGGTGACTGGTTTGTGTAAATGGTACGTTCTGCCCTTTCAAGCAACATGCATTAATCCTGTTTCACCTTTTAAAATCCCTTTCTTCTGAATCTAAAATATTATTCGATTTTTCTGCAGTCACTTTCAATTTTACCACTTCTATAGCGTTCTGTGCCTTTCACGTGGAATTTTGGTCAATGAAGGTTATAACATTTAATTTTTCAAGGGAGGTTTTGCATATGGCTATTGAGCTGAAACAAAATGTCTAATGAAGGGAGTAGAACCTTGAGAAACGAGTAAAGCTTATTGAAAGTTCTAACGGTTAGTATAAAAAGCTAATGAGAGGAGAAGGGGCTGGTGAAAAACATTGAGGCTAGTGTAAAGAGTAGAGGTTAGCAGAAGGAGCAGATACTAGTGAATGAACCAGCTGCTAGTCGAATGAAAAATGCTAAAGAAAGTAGCAGAGGCAAGTTAATATATTAATTCAAATAAAATGGGCTAGTGAGCGGAATAGCCAGGTAAAAGAGATTAGGCTATTTAAATTAGTAGATGTCAGAAAAAGAAATACAGTCTAGTGAAAGCACTAGACGAAGGTGAAAATATTTTATGCTAATGAAAATAAACTAAGCCAGCGAATAGTGGAAGGAGTAGAGGATATTCGAATTTAGAAAAGGAGAGGCTAGTAAAAGAAACAGAGGTTAATGAATGGGATAGATACTAGGGAAAGTAGTCGAAGCCAGAGGAAAAGATACTACGGATTAGAGGCTGGTAAAAGAAGTACAGGCTAGTGAAAGAAGTAGAGTGGGTAATGGAAAACAGATGCAAGTTAAAGGAGAATCATTTAATTACAAGAGAACAGGCAGGTAATAGTTGTAGATGCCGGTGAAAGAAGTAGAAGCTAGTTAAAGGAGCATAATAGTGTGAAAATTTAAAGGACAGTTCGTATATAGTAGAGATAAAAAAATTAGGGCTACTTAAAGGATTAAATCCAAATGAATAGAGTTTAAATTTATGAAATGAATAGATACTATTGAAAAAAACAGAAGAGAATGAAAGGAGAAGATGCTAGTGAAACGAGTAGAGACTACTGAATAGCTGATGAATAAAGTATAAATAGCGAAATGAATAGAAGCTAGTGATAGAAACAGATGATAGTGAACCATGCATAAACTATAAGGAATAGAATCATGTGAAAAGAGAAATATTGAAAAGGTAAGAGAAGTTATTTCTAGTGAATTAGATAAATAATGATAGGTTATACATAACATAAATATCTGCCCATTAATTAACAATAATAATTAGCAACTACAATAATATATTGTACCCAAAATACACTTAAAAATTACAATATTTTTATTGATGTTTTTGGATTAATCAGGATCTCCAAAGAAATGTAATTTCAAGCTTTATCTGTAATTTGAACAATTATAACATATAATAATCTTATTTGTAATTACAAACACAATTTACTTATTAGTAATAACAAACATAAGTAATAAATGAGAGTTGACTGACCGAGCTCGGCGTAGCAGAGTCCTCCCACCATGGAGAGGAGTCCCGTGGCCAACCACACCGCCAGCGCCATACCCACGCTGCCTGTGTACTCCACCACCGTCGTGGGTGACACGAAGATGCCAGACCCAATCATGATGCCCACGATCATGCCCACACCGTTCCACAGCCCAAGCACCCTCTTGAGATGCACATCAGAGTCTTGGAAGTAAACAGAGTCAGTCTTGTGCTCGACATTACCGAGCACTCTCTTGAGCTGCACGCCGGTGTTCAGGCACGGCCCAAAGCTAGTCTTGCCCTCGACTTTACCACATGTTGCAGCCTCAGTCTGCACAGTTGCTTCGATCTTTTCGCTTTCGCTCCTATCAGGTGTTCTGTGATTAACAGATGAAGACGATGATGAGTCTCCCATTAAAGCTGCCTCTTGTGGTTGTGTTCCTGAAGGTGAGTGTGCAGGAGATGCCGTTTGTGCCGCTCTATCACTGGTGCTCACAAGGAGCATATTATAGCTCTTGAATCTAGGGACACGTGGTTTATTCAGAGCTCGATGAGTATCAGTATCTGGCGACCATGTGGACGAAGGTATATCTATGGTCTATTAAGTTGACCTCTTTCTTTTCCAGAACACTGTCCTATTTTTCTCCTGTTATGAAAAAATTAAGATAATTGGTTACTTACAATTGGTTAACCAATTAACAAGTAACCAGTAGTAAAGTTAAAGCTAAGAGAAGCTATTAAAGGTTGCTATAATAGTGTTTGATTCAGACCACTCATCACATTCACTCCAAACATCCATCTTTGCTGCCGACCCAATCTCCTATGGTCGAGGCCCCTATGTTGTATAGGGTCGAGATTGGCCTCCGGGAGAACTTCGTTCTCTCCAGCGCCGAGATTTTAGTACTAATCTTCGTCATCGCCAACGTCTCGCAGGCCGACATCTCGGAGACAAGAGAGGGTGTTCACCTGCTCTTCTCTAGGGATTCCGCCCTTGAGAAGATATTCACCACCGCCGCCACGACCACCCTGCAAGACGCTGGCATCATCCTCACGCCACCACCACGCTACCTGGCGGACAAGATCGTGTTCACCAGGAATATCAGCACATGGATCACCGACCGCGACAAAGACGACATCCTCTCCTGCATTAACGACCAGAACCAATAACGACCAGAACAATTAACGACCAGAACCAATAACGACCAGAACAATTAACGACCAGAACAATTAACGACCAGAACAAGGGAATATTAATAAAACTAAATATATCTACACAAATAAATTTATATACACAAAATATAACACGAAACAACAAATATAAATTGGATTAGGCATATATTTAGGAAAGACCTGGGTAAATACTGGGTTGTAAAAAGGGTTGCTGATTTGTGAAACGGACTACCTGGAACCATTATAAACGTGGAATCGTTTGATTGATTCAAGCGTAGGCAAGACATACTGTATGTGAATGAATTTGGATAACTATAAACAGGAGCTATATCACGTATGGGTCAAAAGACATTTTACAGTTTTCTTAAATTTTGTGTTCTTATGCTCTGATATTCTAAAATAGCTGGCACAAGTGGAAGAAAAATTATTGGCTTATATACAAATACCATTTTCAAACAAGAGATGCCAAACCACGGATGATAGTTTTCAAGAGAAGTGTTATTATAGTGGAATATCATTGCACAATAACAGCCCTGTTCAAAGCAGACGAAGTTACTGATCTGGAGAACGAGCAGCAAAACCTTACTGCCCTCGCCTCTACGACACTTCACTACTGGAACAGAAAGTTGAAGCTGAAAGTTGAGAAGTCACACATACAAGCGGTGTGCGCTGTATAATGTGAGCACAAGAGTAACCAATAATAAGCATATTGATAAATCCTTCAGCACAACGTACACGTTTATAAGAGCAATGACAGGAGAAAATACTAAGACAACGCAATGTATTAACTCGAGAAAATAGGAAACGAATTACGTGAATGTCTAGAGCATTCGTGACTATAAATCAGCGAGGAGTCACACTAGTGGTCAGTAACCAGCGAGGAGCCACACTGGTGGTCAGTAATCAGCGAGGAGTCACACTAGTGGTCAGTAATCAGCGAGGAGTCACATTGGTGGTCAGTAACCAGCGAGGAGTCACACTGGTGGTCAGTAACCAGCGAGGAGTCACACTAGTGGTCAGTAACCAGCGAGGAGTCACACTGGTGTTCAGTATCCAGCGAGGAGCCACACTAGTGGTCAGTAACTAGCGAGGAGTCACACTGGTGTTCAATATCCAGCGAGGAGTCACACTGGTGGTCAGTAACTAGCGAGGAGTCACACTGGTGTTCAATATCCAGCGAGGAGTCACATTGGTGGTCAGTAACCAGCGAGGAGTCACACTAGTGGTCAGTAACCAGCGAGGAGTCACACTGGTGGTCAGTAACCAGCGAGGAGTCACACTGGTGGTCAGTAACCAGCGAGGAGTCACACTGGTGGTCAGTAACCAGCGAGGAGTCACACTGGTGGTCAGTAACTAGCGAGGAGTCACACTGGTGGTCAGTAACCAGCGAGGAGTCACACTGGTGGTCAGTAACTAGCGAGGAGTCACACTGGTGGTCAGTAACCAGCGAGGAGTCACACTGGTGGTCAGTAACCAGCGAGGAGTCACACTGGTGGTCAGTAACCAGCGAGGAGTCACACTGGTGGTCAGTAACCAGCGAGGAGTCACACTGGTGGTCAGTAACCAGCGAGGAGTCACACTAGTGGTCAGTAACCAGCGAGGAGTCACACTGGTAGACAATAACTAGCGAGGAATAAAAATGACTGGACATTAATTCACTTTCTCTGATTTCACCTTCGTACGCCGTCTGTATTCTTAGCCCACATCCCCATCCTCTTTCCCCACCAGTTCCTGGGACATAACCCTTCCCCCCAGTAGTCTAAATCCTTGGCACATCCTCTACTACCTTATTCATGTCCGGACTCACCTAGCTGTACTCACCTAATTATGCTTGCGTGGGTTGAGCTTTGGCTCTTTGGTCCTGCCTCTCAACTGTCAATCAACTAATATACAGATTTCAGAGGCTACTGGGCTCTATCATATCTACACATGAAACTGTGTATGGAATCAGCCTCCACCACATCACTTCCTAATGCATTCCATTTGTCAACTACTCTGACACTAAAAACAAAAACTGTAATGTCTCAATGGCTCATTTGGGCACTCAATTTTCCCCTGTGTTCCTTACTGCGTGTGCCCCTTGAGTTAAATAGTCTGTCTTTATCTACCCTATCAATTCCTTTGAGAATCTTGTATATGGTGATCATGTCCCTCAAACTCTTCTGTCTTAAGTACATCGGACGCTGGAAAGGGGCCAATCAGGCTACTGGGGGGAAGGGGTACTAGTTCACTAGTACTGAACACTAGATTAGTGTTCCCCACTAGTTCCTGGAGTCACACTAGGGGCCAGTAATCAACGAGGATACACACTATGGGTCAGTAATCAGGGAGGAGTCGCGTTAGTGGTCAACAACCAGCGAGGAGTCACACTAGGGGTCAGTAACCAGCGAGGAGTCACACTAGGGGTCAGTAACCAGCGAGGAGTCACACTAAGTCACACTATAAGGGGCCTCGTAGCCTGGTGGATAGCGCGCAGGACTTGTAATTCTGTGGCGCGGGTTCGATTCCCGCACGAAGCAGAAACAAATGGGCAAAGTTTCTTTCACCCTAAGTGCCCCTGTTACCTAGCAGTAAATAGGTACCTGGGAGTTAGTCAGCTGTCACGGGCTGCTTCCTGGGGGGGGGGGGGGTGTGGTGTGAAAAAAAAAAAGTAGTTAGTAAACAGTTGATTGACAGTTGAGAGGCGGGCCGAAAGAGCAAAGCTCAACCCCCGCAAAAACACAACACAACTAGTAAACACTAGGGGTCAGTAACCAGCGAGGAGTCACACTAAGGGACAGTAACCAGCGAGGAGTCACACTAGGGGTCAGTAACCAGCGAGGAGTCACACTAGGGGTCAGTAACCAGCGAGGAGTCACACTAGGGGTCAGTAACCAGCGAGGAGTCACACTAGGGGTCAGTAACCAGCGAGGAGTCACACTAGGGGTCAGTAACCAGCGAGGAGTTACACTAATGGCCAGTAATCAGCGAGGAGTGAAATTAGGGACCCAGCAATCCTCAGGTCTCTGCCAATAATATATGCAGATTGGCTCCTCCTCACCTCTATGAGTTTAAAAATTATATTTTTAAATGTTTAAAATTTAATTTAAAGTTTAGTTCAAAAATTATATTTTTAAAGTTCGTAACATATAACGAACATTTATGAGTGGAAATGTGGACAATGTAAATGGATGACACAAAATTTTAACCTGTGGTGGAATCATGCAAAAACATACACTAAAATACATTTCTGATATTTAAAATAGAATTTGTAAATTGTTTAACACTTTAAGCAATACTTTTCAATGAGACACTTGAGACAGAAACAGTTCCACTTAAGTTGAAATTGACAAATAAACAAACCCATATTAGAAGTAATTCGGATTATTCTTGTAATTACCGTTCAAGCAACTTAACGTTGGTTGTTGACAGGTTCATGGAAAAATAATTCAAGACTATGTACTGCAAAATTTATGGTCATTCTCTAATATCAATTCGAAACACGTTTCGTAGAAATGCTTAACAAATCTTAATGTTTTCTTTTATAACATTATTAATGTGTTCGACGAAAGCAAAGCAAGAAAACATGATCTTCATCAAATATAACAATGGCACATAGTTCTAGTGTGTTATACACTATCAGTGACTCCTATCTCCGCTTCACAACTTCACAATTTCACAACAATTGGAGGACCGTAATGGGTAGCGAGAAGTGATTTTACAAGCATCCTATACTGTCACACACACGATTAACACTCATTACCAAACACCACGCTCAGCCAATATTATCCTGCTCACCACCTCGGGTAAGGTGGATTGCAGTTGTTGTTGTTTAGGATTCAGCTACTCAAAACAAAAACTTCCAAGTAGCACGGGCTATGGTGAGCCCGTAAGTGGAGGCTCTTTGGATCCCTTGATTGTTTCAAGCGAAGGTTAGAAATATATATGAATGAGATTATGTGGTTATAAATAGTGATATTGGTTCTCTTTCCTTGTTTATTTCCCGGTAAATGGTTCCACAAATCAACAACCCTATTACCAAATCTGTATTTACACATATCTTTCCCTAAATCTAAACTTATCCAAATTATATTAATTGTTACGTGTTCTGGCTTGTGCTGATACTTTTAATACCCCTATTAATATCCCTTTTGTTATGTCCATTCAACCACTTGTACACCTATGCACCCACTTGAATCGATAATTGCAAATACCATTCGTTTTCATCTTGAAAAACATAAATTAATAAACGAGTCACAAAATGGTTTTACAAATGGCCGTTCATGTTTAACAAATTTGCCATCTTTTTATACCAGCATAGTTGAGGCAGTTGATAGTGGTAAGTTTTGCGATGTT